AGGAAATATACAACTTATTCCACCCAGGGACACTTACCAACAAGAAATTACCAGAAATAATCCAGACAAACAGGAATTACTGGAGAAATATGACCCTCATGTCAAGGAACAGACTAGGGAATATATAAATAACTGGGAAACAGTTAGAAATGGAAGACCGAGTGATAGATCAACCAGACGGAACTCTAACAGAGGGACTGGCCCTAGGACTGGCACAAGGACAAGGAAACCACCTAGGAATGCGGTAGTTGCCATTCGAATACGAGACGAGACAACCAGTTACGCAGCTATACTTAAAAAAGCTAGGCAAGAGGTATCGCTAAGGGAACTTGGAATCGAGACAACCATGATCAAGAAGGGGATTAATGGTAACCTATTAATAGAAATCCCAGGTAACGAAGGAAAAGAAAAGGGCAAGATTCTTGCGGACAAACTGCGAGAAAAACTTGGCGACGAGAAAGTTACCATTACTAGATCCACAGCCATGGGGGAAATTAGAATTACTGGATTAGACGAATCAGTCACAGTAGAGGAGGTGAGGTATTTAATTACCGAAACAGGAGATTACAATGCTGATGAAGTAAAGATCAGTCCAATTAGATGGAGGTACAACTGTATGGGCTCCGTCTGGATCCAATGTCTGCTGGTTTCTGCCAACGCGTTGGCTGACATAGGGAAAATTAGGATCGGATGGACAGTAGCAAAAATAGAACTCTCGCCAAAAGGCCGCTACAATGTTTCAGATGTTGGGAATTCGGGCATGCAAAGTTCTTATGTCGTGCTTCGACTGACCGAAGTGGGCATTGCTACAACTGTGGTATACCTGGACATACGGCCAAGGCATGTAATAGGAAAGAACCAAAGTGCGTGATCTGTGCCGAAAAAAATTACCAGGCAAACCATAGGATTGGATCTCGTTTCTGTAGGATGACAATCCCGACAGAGCTAAGGAAACTCCCAAGGAAGACAGAAATAAATACAAGGAGAGCAGAAAAACCCAAAACCATGGGGGAAACTGTGACACAAGAGAAAACAATGGAATATGATGCAGGAAATTAACATTGTTCAGATAAACCTGAATTATTGTTGGGGTGCACATAATCTCCTCCAGCAATTCATGAAGGAAAGGGAGGTTGAAATTGCACTCATAACGGAACCTATATATACATATATCAGACAAAAACTGGGTTAGTAGTAAGAATAAAAGCGCAGCTATTTTCTGGACGTCGACTTCAAGCTTTCGAATTACTGAATCAATAAAGGAAGAGGAATTAGTGGCAATAGAACTGGAAGACATAATTATGGTATCATGCTATATTTCGCCTAATTGTAGTCTGAAGGAGTTCTCTGCTGTTCTAAACCGAATAGAGAATAGAATCAAGGGTTTAGATAAAAGAAAACAGATAATTCTAGGAGGAGACTTCAATGCGCACTCTATGGCATGGGGCTTCAGATACATATCTAGTAAAGGAAAGAAATTACTAAAACTTATGGAGGAAATAAATTTGTTACTAGTAAATAGTGGAAACATCCCAACTTGTACTAGACAACAAGGAAACTCAATTGTAGACTTGACCTGGGCAACAACCAAATTATAGGTAGAATTGAGAAATGGACAGTCGAAGACACGCTGTCCCTCTCAGACCATAACTACATTACCTATAGTATAAATATGGGGAAATGTACAAGCATCCCAGTTGTCTCTACTAGTACATCCCGACGATGGAAAACCGATAACATAGACGAAGAATTATTTGAAGAAGCAATAGAATGGAGTTGTCACTCTTATAGCTCACAAGACACCACGATGGTAAATGATGTCAAATGGATTGATAAAACTATAGCTCAGGCTGCTGACTTATCTATGAATAGAGTTAAAAAACTAAGAAAGAAAAAACAAGCTTACTGGTGGAACAACAATATAGCGGAATTAAGACGGAAGTGCAATGACCAAAGAAGGAAGTGGACTAGAGCAAAATCCAACTGGAAGAAAGATAAAGATAAGGATAAAAATAAGACCCGTATATATAAATATGGACCGGAGGAACTTTCCGAGCTTGCAAAACTGTATAAAGAGGCTAAAAAAGAACTCAGCCAGGCAATATATCATGCAAAAGAAAACTCTTGGAAGGAACTAATCCGGGAGATTGACAAGGACGCATGGGGAATTCCCTACAAACTTGTCATGAATAAATTAAAAATTAGTGGTTCCGGCATAAGTGAAATACTTGAAGAGCATATACTTAAGGAAGTAATCCATAAGTTATTCCCTAGAGATGACAACAAGGATAACAACATGGAGCTTAGAGTTAGAGAATGGAAGGATGAATGGGATGTGAGTTTCGCGGAAACTAATAGAGCTTTACGTAGAAAAGGAGCTAGGAACACGGTACCTGGAATAGATGGCATCAATAATAAAATGTGGAAAAAGACCCCAGACAACATGATTAACAAGGTTGCGGAAATATTTATCAAATGTATGCGGCATGGGGAATTTCCCACTCAATGGAAACGAGCGAGGATAGTATTAATCCCCAAAGGCAAAATCGAGGAACAAAGGATTCCCAAGGCTCGTCCCATATGTTTAATAGATGACATTGGCAAAGGTTTAGAACGAATTATAGTGGAACGTATTGAAAACTGGACGCAAGAAATGGCAAACAGAGGATAACATAATCCTTCAATTTGCAAAGACCAATATGGCTTTAGAAGAAACAAGTCAACAATTGACGCCCTATCTAGAGTAATAGAACGAGCCAAGGAAACAAGACACACAGGAAGAGTAACAATGTTATTGAGCCTTGACATCGAAAATGCGTTTAACAGCATCCCATGGAAAGAAATCGGTAATACACTAAAAAAGCAGAAATTCCTTAAATATCTTAGAAAAATACTGCATAGTTATTTTCATAATAGATGCGTGGAATATACAAATAAATCTGGCGAAATAGGCAAGACTAGTGTAGAAAGAGGTGTTCCGCAAGGGTCGGTGTTCGGACCATTAATTTGGAACTTAGTTTATGACCAAGTACTTAGGATCAAAAAAGAAGACTGTGAAATAATTGGCTATGCAGACGATACCCTGGTTATGGCTACTGCCGACACGTATAAAGAAGCTAAATTTACGGCATATATACAAGCCGAAAGACTTATACGTACCATTCGAAACATGGGACTCAAGGTAGCAGTGGAAAAAACCGAAGCTATGATTTTCTTTGGTAAAAAGGGTAAAAGGCCACCTAAAGAGGATTCTCTTAAAATAGATAACACAGAGATCCCAATAAAAAGACACTTGAAATACTTAGGAATGATCTTGGACAGCAAATTGAGCTTTGCGGAACACTTCCGACATATCAGTGAAAAAGTCGAAAAAGTCAAAAGAGCCTTATGTAGACTCATGCCTAACCTTCGAGGACCTCATGAAAGTAAAAGAAGACTATACGGTTACATCATACAGTCTATAGTTATGTACGGTGCACCAGTGTGGTACGACCAGTTTATTAAGAGTTCCACTATACAAAGACCATTGCAAAAGACACATAGACACATAGCAATCAGGATAATTTCAGGTTACAGGATCATCGCATATGAAGCTGCAATTTTATTGGCCAGGACCCCTCCCTGGACCCTAGTAGCTCGTAAATATAAAAATATATATGAAAGAACTAGAGAACTAAAAAATAGAAATGCATGGGACAAACGCGCGGAGAAAACATTAAAACAGGAAGAAGAAGATAAAATGTATACAAGATGGCGGAATCGACTTGGAAATAAAGACTTACCTGGTCGTAAACTAATAGAGGCCATTCTCCCTGACTTCAGGGGCTGGATTACTAGGGAATTTGGAGGAATGAATTTTTCACTAACCCAGATCCTGACGGGTCACGGCTGTTTTAACGATTATTTACAGCGAATTAAAAAAACCAAGTCAGCAATGTGTTCCTACTGTGAATGAGGCATTGACGATGCGGAACATACGCTTTGCCAATGTGACGAGTGGACTAGGGAAAGAGAAGAAATGAAAGGAAAGATGAATAATAACATCAACTTGAGAACGTTTATTGAAGCAATATGCACCAGCAAGGAAACATTTTTGGCGGCTAACACCTTCGCTCATAAAGTTATGGGCAGGAAGGAGGAAGACGAGAGAATAAGACAACGAAGAGAACAAGAAGGCGCGGCTGAACCCTTACTTACTCCCTGACGCGATATGTCTGTGTCTCATTTATTCATACATTCATCACTTATCATCATTATTATCATCTACTCTTTTTGACACGAGGAGGGACTATGGAAGTCTCCACAAATCTCTAAGAATCAACAAGAATATCCAATTAAGGCAAGACCATATAGGACTATAATGCGGAATAGGATGGACTAATGATAACTGGGTCGACATCGGGGAAGAATTCAGAGCGATTCCTCTGATGCCGGTGGTCAGAATGGCAGTAACACCGTCGATATATAGGGAGAGTTTTAGTCGGTACACGGAGCACCCCGGAGCCCGACAGTACCTGGGGAAAATCTGCGCCCAGGTCTGCGTAACGCATTTCTCTTCCTTCCGTATCGGACGGTAAAAAAAAAAAAAAAAAAAAAAAAAAAGAAAGGTTAGATTAGGTTAGGTTAGATTCTCCTCCGTGGTGTGCCACCTTGTCGTGGTGGAGGAGCTCCCCTCTTCCCACTGGGTTGAGGGGTCTAAGAGCACACCATTGCACTTCCTCATCTTCCGTTCGGCATTGAGCCGGCGGGGGATGGGAAGGGGGGTTGCGCTCCCTCCGGGCACCTTGGCCTGATGCGCATAGGGGTAGACGGCCCTGACTTCAATCGCCCGGTCGGCCACGACCGTTAGGGATGCCCCTGCACTGTCAGGGTCTACCATCCCGGTGGCTAGAGGAAGGAAAACCTCGAATTAAAAACCCGGTCTGGACAGCCCGTGAGCCTCTGGACGGCGTGTCCTAAGGGAAGGAAAACCCCGACAGAAAACCAATTTCTTTAGCAACATGATGGACGAAACTAAAGAAAAAGAACGTACCGGCCCAGGGGTTTCGGACCCCCAGGGCCCGGCGAGTGCGGGGGGTATTGTCCCGGCCCCCTCCTCGTCGTCATCCGACGTCGGGCCACCCCTGGTGTCTCAGGAGAGCACCAGGGGCGAAGATACGATCTCCTCTCTTCTAGGAAGAGGATTGCGGAGACACCTCTCCGCCAACGAGCGACAGGACGTCGGGCGTTCCAGCCCACCAGCGGATCCTGAGAGGGGTCCAGACCCAGATCAACCGGGTCCGTCGGGTGTGAGGGCAGCGGCCCGGGATTTCGAATTTAGGAAACCCGGACCCTTGTCCTCAAAGAAGAAGAAGAAGGCCTGCATCGCGGAGTCTTCCGAGGAGGAATCGTCCGATGGCATGTCGGTTGACGGCGGCGGTGATATGACGCCGTTATCCGACGTGTCATCGGACACGAATTACGCCCTGACTCATGAGGGGCATACGAAGAGATCACGGGGTCGTCCACCTACCACGGGGGAGCACGTGGGGTCGAAAGCCCTCAAGGATAAAATTAAGTTCCTTGAGAAGGAGCTCACAGAGGTGCAGGCGGAGCGGGATGTCCTTGCGGGACGCTTTGAAGTCAGCTTCGGGGCTACTGCGGGGGGGGCCTCCTCTGCTGCTGATGTTGAGGAGCAGCTCGCCGGTGAAACGGTGAACTCCCTCGTCAGCATTATTGTAGACAACATGGAGGCGGTTGAGCGTGTCGCGGATCGGTCGGGCTCCTTGAAGGGCACTTTCAAGTATATGCTTCGACACGCTTCGCGGAACGCAGTGGCCGCCTCCAGATTGCTTTTTTCCCGCGCGTTCACCCACGCGGAGAGTAATCGCGAGGCTGGGGCCCTCGACAAAGCTCGATGTGAGCTTTTAGCTGCGCGTCAGCTGGTCGAGGAGTCCCAGAACCGTATCAGGAAGTTAGAGGGGGCGATCGAGATCCTTAAGGCCAGGGAGACCATCCGGGCCTCCCGAGCAGAGCGATCCCCGACTCCGCCCCGCCGAATTTCGGCTGTGTTGTCGGATTCGTGCGGGGAGCATATGGAAGTGGAGGATTTACCCGGGGAACCGCCTCCCCGGGTGGACCCTCCAACACAGGGACCTCCGACTATCGAGGCCTCCTCGGTTGACCCCTCCACTCCGCTCGAGAATATCGAGCGGATGGTGGAGCGGGTCTTGGGTAGGATGTTGCCCACCGTATTGGAGGCTATCGCCAGGCCCCCCGCCCCCTCGCGACTGTACAGCGAGGTGGTGGGGAGCAAGGCGAAAAAGGATGCGGCTCCCGCTGCGCCCACGAAGGACGCTTCCTCCTCCTCTTTCCCCCCTGTTCAGGGGGAGAAGGGGAGGAAGAAGAAGAAGAGTAAGAAGAAGAAGGGTCCCACGGTCAACCCGGACCCACCTGGGGGACAGCCTCCCCCGCCGAAGGGGGATGCGGTCAAGCGCAAGCCTCAGGCAAAGAAGAGGAAGTCTCCTGTTGGGGTGGTCCGGGAGCCTCGGACAGCGGCCGTCTTGGTGACGATCGCGCCGGACTCCGGGATCACCTCAGGGGAGATGCTGAGGAAGTCTAGGGCCCTGATAAGTGTGTACCCCGAAATGGAAACGGCCCGATTGAAGAAGACGCAGGCCGGTGGCACTCTCCTCCAGTTTGCTGGAGCGGAGGGCCACCGGGTTGCCGACCGGGTGGCCTCAGCTATGAGGCAGATCGCGGAAGAGGCTCGGGGTGTCCGGGTCACCCGGCCCATGAAGCGCGCTGAATTGCGCCTTCGTGGGCTGGATGACTCGGTCACCAAAGAGGAGATGGTCGACGCCGTCGCGGGGATGGCTGGCTGCCGCGCCGGGGACCTCTCTGTCGGGGAGATCTCACGACTCCCCAACAGATTGGGCTCGGTGTGGCTTCGCTGTCCCGTGGCGGTGTCGAATAAAATCCTTGAGGAGGGGATGCCCCGCGTCGGGCTGGTCAGGCCTGTGGCAGTGCCACTGCCGGCCCGCCCGATGCGATGCTTCCGGTGTCTCGAGGTGGGACACGGTGTCGCCCTTTGTAAGGGCATGGACAGGAGTGGCCGCTGCCATCGTTGCGGCGACCGCTCCCACGAGGCTCGAGCCTGCTCGGCGGCGAGGCCGAAGTGTCCGCTTTGTGCGGACTTTGGCCTCCCTGCCGAGCATTCCCTCGGGGCGACTGCTTGCGTGGCTAGCGAGCGTGTCGCCCGGCGGAGGAAGGCCAAGATCAAGGCCAAAGCCCGGGAGACTCTGTCCTCCAAGGAGGACAGGCCCCCGGCGGAGTCCGGCGATGGGAGTAGGAGGGGCCCCCATGGGGCGAAACCCTCCAAAACCATTGCCCCAGCAGGGCCTGCGGAGGGGGGGGGAGACACCCAGGAGGGTCCTCCCCTTGCCCCACCGGAAAAAGGCTCCACCGAAGTCGTGGGGGGTCGTACGACTAGGTCCTCGGTGAAGAGGACCGTGTCGGAGCGTTCCCCCCCCGCCCAGCGTGGCCAGGAGTTGGCCGAGGGGCCTCAAGCGGAGTCCCCATCCGCGCCCCCGGCACCGCCGAAGAAGAGGCGGGACCGGAGGGAACGATTCAAAACACGTTGAATCGTTTCCTCCGCTCCCCCCCCCCAGGGAGTAGATCGGGTGACGGCCACTCGATGAGTTGGGGCCCTTAATTGGGCCGGGCTGCCCTGCCTCCAGAAGTTATGGTTTCCGTTTCCTGGAGGCGGGGCGTTAGCAGCACGTGAGTCTGCTCGACGGGGTTTTTAGTTGGTATACCCGGCATTGCACACCTGGGAGAGGGGCTAGCTTTCTCCTAAGGGCCGGGGAGTCCAACACTACCCCCCCTTGGTGCGTCGTACGCACCTCGGGGAGGTGTGCGTAATGCATTTTCCCCGTCGTTAAACAAAAAAAAAAAAAAGGTTAGGTTAGATTAGTTGTTGGTTGTTGATGGTTACGGGCTTGTTTCCCGACCTAGTTATTTGGAGTATTACATATCATTAATGAGTGGATAAAATTAAGAGAAACTATCTTCCATTGGAAGTTAGCTTGGTGGTGCATCATGTGTTGTGTGGGCATCATCGGGGGATGTGGTCATTAATTATTAACGTTTTACTGTGGTCAACCTCTCTCATCTCTGGTGACATCCATGTGGCACTTCAGTGCTTTCAATATATCAATGAATGTTGAAGAACGTTATCTGGACTTTTGTCTTATCCTGTGTGGTGATTAATTAAGCATACATTCATGAAAGTTTTTGTTAATTAACACTTGATAGTATTTTAATTAGACAGTTAACATTGTGTAGTTCTGTCTCTCTTCCTCGTGTTGATAGCGTAGGATTGCCTGACTTTGCTTTTCTTTAGACTATTTTCACAGTTCTGAATACTGTGATGTGTGTGATACATTATAAACTGTTAGACAATAATCGAATATAGTGTAGTTTAAGCCGTTATTAATAATTTTTAATGCGGTTAATTATAAAGTACAATAAAGTGCAGATTTAATGTGGATTGCGCAGTTTGTATTTTCTTCAGTTGTGCGCAACGCGCGCGTGTTCAGTTCTGTGGTGGTACGACTAGCTGCCTAACACGTCATCAACAAGCAGATGCGCTGTGGATGGATTGTTGTATGTGCGCAGTACGCGCGTGCTCAACTTTAGGTTGGTAGTGTGCCGTCTGTGCCGTACACTTGAGTTACATTTGTGTTACACTTTAATCTTGTTAATGCAGTCTGTCAAATACTATTGATAATTAAATTAGTCAGACGGTTAAGATCATACAGTGCATTTAGAACATTGATTACTGTTTGATAATTAGTATATCAATATCACTAATTTTGAATATGATGCATGAATGAGTTTGGATTGCGTTTCGAGGCTCCCTGAAGTGACATATGAATTGTTGGCGTGCTATATTATTATTAATAAAGGAACGACATCCCATGCGTTTTTGTTAACGTTTTATGGTTGATGTTGTGTTCTGCGCCGTATTGTATGTAAGTCTCATGACGGAGATATTTGTGTTTTCAATCAAATATTAATGTGCATAAGCGTGCGAGTTTTGATAGTGGATAGTGTATAGAAATATTCATCTTATACCACTGACTAATAACTTATAATTAATTGATAATCGATAATTATTAATTAATAACAATAGCAATATTTCTCGCGTATACGCCCCCTTTATGTGTATACAGGGTGACCCATTTTAATTTCCCGAGCCAAATATTTCGGAAAATAATGAAAAATCGAAAATATGTTTCAGACAAAAGTTGTATAGTTTCTAGAGTGACATAAGATGGCACCATTGGTTTGACCTTGAAGAGTTATTTGAAGGTCACATGAAGGTCACCTTCAATTTCTTAAATGGAACCTACACTTTCTCATTACATATTCTTGTAGCTTATCTCGAGAGCTTTCCAAAACACTATAATAAAATATTTTTCATTGAGTACTTGTCGAGTTATGAGGCTTGAAATCATGTTTTAATTTAACATAAACCGTAATATATCTAGTAAAATATTCATTTTTCGATTATCTTGCCTTAATACTTTTATGTACAAAATAATGAGAGAAATCAATTGGTGTAAAAAAACACATAGTTATTTTTAAGAAAAAATATGTAATTTGCAATTAACAATTACATATTTTTTCTTTGAAACAACTATGTGTTTTTTTTACACCAATTGATTTCTCTCATTATTTTGTACGTAAAAGTAAGTAGGTATACTATGTCAGTTCTAACCCAGGACCTCTCAGGGGGGGTGAGGCGCGAGGGGAACCGCGGTGCGGGGGGAGTGACGTCACCCGCGGGGAAAGGGGATCCGCGGCGCGAGCGATGGACGAGGGGATCCGCGCGGTGAAGGGGGAACCGCGGCGCGAGCGATGGACGAGGGGGTCCGCGAGATGAAGGGGGATCCGCGGCGCGAGCGATGGACGAGAGGGTCCGCGCAGTGAAGGGGGATCCGCGGTGCGAGCGATGGACGAGGGGGCCCACGAGGTGAAGGGGGATCCGCGGCGCGAGCGATGGGCGAGGGGTCCGCGCGGTGAAGGGGGATCCGCAGCGCGAGCGATGGACGAGAGGGTCCGCGAGGTGAAGGGGGATCCGCGGTGCAACCGATGGACGGTGGTGTGAGAAGGACAGCGCTATGTATGGGAAAAGGACAGTGCAAAATGTGTGAAGAGGACAGTGCTACGAGTGCGACAAGGATGGCGTTAACGTGGGACAAGGACGACGTATAGGTGGGAGAAGGACGACGCAAAGGTAAGTGAACAACGAGTATATTTTAAGCGAAAGAGAGAGGGAGAGAGCGATAATATCGAGAATAACAACGCGTGCGAGAGAGAACAACGCGAGTGAGAGAGAACGCATATGAAAGAGAGAACGATAGCGCTAAGACGACGTGTACAAGAGAGAGAACGATAATATCGCGAGACTTACAATTAGTGCGCGTGCGAGAGAGAACGATAATATCGCGAAGACTTGCAACTAGCGCGTGCGAGAGAGAACGATAGCGCGAAGACGACGCGTGCAAGAGAGAACGATAATATCGCGAGACTTACAACTAACGAGTATGATAGAGATAGCGATACTTAAAACTAGCGCGAAAGAGACGCAAGAGAGATGCAAGGATGGGAACGCATGAAGAGGTGCATAAATAATTAGATTTTTTTTACATCAAAATATAAAATATAAATTTATTAAAAATGTGTGTATTTTATACAATTGTGTGTGTGTGTGTGTATGTACTTAAAATTAAGACTATAATAAAATAAAATATAATAATAAAATAATAATAAAAATAATTTGGTGGTGCGGGGGGGGGGGGGAAGCCGCTCCTGGAAGACTAGGGGCGATGTGTCGGGCTGAGGGACTTCCGCTCCTGGTCCTCTCGTCGACTATTCATGTACTCTCGTAAACTCTGAAATTAAACATAATAATTGTAAATGTTTTAAATTTATTACACATTAGCAAAAATATTTTTACCTTCAACGTTTCCAAGTCATGTCGTAGCATATTCTCATGCACATCTTCTTCGAATTTGTCTATGCCTTTACATAATTCAAGATGTTCACAAAGTCTATTTCCGAAACATTTTGCTTTAGTGTGATTAGGATCTTCCGCATATATACATTCAAAACAAAAACTTGCATTACATTTTTTAACTGAGTTCGCCCAAAATTTTCGAGTTTTGAGAAATCTGTTCAACGAAATTGTGCGGGGGTTTTTCAAGCCGAGCTCACGATTTCTTATAAATTGAACGACTGAAATTTCCCGATTCTTCTTCGAAAGTTGTTCCCGCTCATACTGAAGTAATTCTTCAACATCACTAGTTCGAAAATCGAAATCAGGTTCCTTATCAGATGATTCTTCTTTCGCATATAATTTCTTCCATTTCGCTCTTCTCTCTCTCTCAATCTCAATTTTTTCCACCACAACGGGATCCATCCAGGCATCATATTCATCCATATCTTCATTGCCGATGATTACGTTTTCTTCAACATCATTATCATCCATATCTTCATTACCGATGATTACGTTTTCTTCAGCCATTGCACTAACGTAACACACAAGACTAATGAAACGCAAAGAACAACGAAAGAAATGATACTCTAGTGCAGCAGACTCCTCTTCATTATATATCTTTTTAATATCTCGCGTCTCATTCCAACTAGAGCATCGTGTCTCATCTACCTCAGCATTTCTCTACATCTTTGGCGGAGCGTGTTGAGAAAAATTGTCGACTATTCTTATTCGTATGGAAGGAAAGAAATAAAATCATAGATGGAATAAAAATAATTATTTATTGCACGCATCGTAAAGAATATCATTTACAGCACATGTTAATAATTCGCAATCGATCAATGATTCGCTGTCAAAGACATCACTCTCACGTATCGTTTTTCAGCATCGCATACAGTAGTAATATTATTACGTTGTAATACAGTTTCAAATTGTTTAAATTTTTCATTTACAAGATACGTATTCTCGCATAACCAATTGTGCATATGATCGATACAATTTTCAAAATTAAATAAATGTAATAACGATTCTGGTTTCATGTACAAAGAATTTTCGCATAATGCAAGTTTTACAATTTTCGATTGATACATTTCAATCGTTAAATCTCCAATTCTTAATGGGGGAGCAGTCGATTGTAGAAATTGTTCAACGTCTGCTTGCTTCCGCATCAACAAATTCCACATTGAAAAGGGTAACACTATTTGATTGCCTCGATTATCGCCGAGAATCAGCTCCACGTACGATACAGCTCCAACGCTTATTCCAATATCCAAATAATTGTACGACGTCGGGGTTAGAGCGTACCTTCTTCCAAGTATGCGAGCTGCACGACGAGGCTGGATACTATAAAATATAAATAATTATACAACAATATTAAAAATCAATAAGTAACAAATTTTTTAAACGATTTAAACTTACGTGTCGCATTTTTGCTTCTTACACGGTGGAGTTTCACCATTTCGAATCGGAATGTAGAAATTCATATTTCTTCAGCGATGAATCTTTCACACGCGCGATTGATGCAATACTGCAATCGTATTAGAATCAATATCAATTCAAATAGTATCCCAAATTATGATG